GTTCTATTACATAAGTATTACATGTTAACATCAAAACAAAATGCCCTACGGGCTTACAGCTTTCCAAGTTAACACTTGGTTACAACAAAAGAGTACTAACTCATTTACACTTTAAGCTCTTGGCTTGAATATACATGTAATACATCAAGGAAATAAAACAACAAAAGTCCGCCTGCCTTTAGCCTCCCAAGTTACGTCCTTGGAGGTGGCATGCTACCTGTACCTGAAAATGATGTTCCCATATAGGGTGAGCCACAGCCCAGTAGAGATACACTAAACCAAATATGAACAGTGACTAAAAGATTAGCAATTGATATATGGCCAACACAGATACTTTCCCTTATCACACTTTACGGTTTCATGACATACAAGTCCAGATTACAATCCATTTTCCATTTCTTTCAATTCTCAATTTACAACCAAGGCTCAGAACCTGGCCAAATAACTCATATGAGACGGTAACTCATATCAAACACTTCCCATTTCATAATAGATAAGCATACTGGCTATATCACACAACAATAGATAAGCATACAAGCTATATCATCATTTCCACAGATATGCATATGAGCACTATCACACTTCAGCATATGAGCTCTGTCAACACATTAATAGATAAGCATATGAGCCCTATCTATGGAGTCCATCCCATATCTCCTCCCAACACATCCGGTTTAGAGGTCCATCCCCTATCTTCCCCTAAACCGTGGAGTACATCCCCTATCTCCTCCAACACAACACAATGCATATAAACAATAATTATACACATCATCACACAACACATAAATTTAATGTATTCTTTCAACCGTCATACTCAATGACACATTCCAGTGATTAGTTTCAGTTTGCGTAATCATCATGCATTGTCTACAACAATCAAGACTATCCTCCACCGATAGCCCAAAGCAGTTATTTCTATACAGAAAATAAATGCAACAATGGATATATAATCAACATTCCAACTAGGTGAGCGATAAGTAATCCAACTACACCCTTTAATCTCATATCTTTCCAAACCAATTCCTCATTTCTCATAATTAATTATGCAAATTAATTAACCAATGTAATTAGGGCATTTTTCCAGTTTGCCTAATCATCATGCATTGTCTACAACAATCAAGACTATCCTCTACCGATAGCCCAAAGCAGTTATTTCTATACAGAAAATAAATGCAACAATGGATATAAAATAAACATTTCAACTAGGTGAGTGATAAATAATCCAACTACATCCTTTAACCCCTTCCCTTTCCAATTTCCACATTCTCAACAATTAATTATACAAATTAATTAATCATTGTAATTAGGGCATTTTTCATAATTAACATTACAACCCTTAGGTTCCATTTTCATTAATGTTTTAACATTAATTTCACCTTTTCCATGCCGAACATGCATCTAGGCTTTATATCGCTAAAACCCCAACTTTTGGAAATTTACACAAAAGCCCCAAATTTTCACCAAATTACCAAACCAACCCTAACATCTCAAAATACTAAAATTTAAAGACAAAGCTCATAAAAAGGAGTAGGATATCCCTACCTCAAAGTTTGAACTCCAATGGAGATGAAGACCAAAACCAAAATGCTCTAAATTTTGAAATTTTCAGATTAAAATGTAGCCCTCGACGATCAACACAACTTTCGTAAAGGCCAAAAGTGAGCAAACAACTCCTACTAGATCAAATCTAAGAGAGAAGGGCCGGTTTTAGAGTGAGAAGCTCTGAAAATGGCTTTTTGGAAAAGAGAGAGAAAAGATCTTGAAAAAGTGATCCAAAAGTCGGATCTCGGATTTATATAAAAGTCGCCCCGCTCGAGCGTCAAACTCCCCGCTCGAGCGTCACTCACAGACTCCCGCTCGAGCGGCCAATCCCCCGCTCGAGCTCCGGATGCACACTCCCAGAACTCTTGCAGACAGGTCTCCCGCTCGAGCATCCAACTCCCCGCTGGAGCGGCACTCACTCAATCCTGCTCGAGCGGCCAATCCCACGCTCGAGCGTCCAACACTGCACAGGAAATACTGGATGGGTGAAATTCCCGCTCGAGCGCCAAAACCCTCGCTCGAGCGGACAGGTCAAAATCTGGGCAACTAGTTTTGGTTTCTAAACTCAACCGACCTGTAACAAACCTGCCCAACACATCCTATAACTCAAATACAAAGTAAGAAAGGATGTACACAAGGTAATAATCAACTACTGTCATCCGCGGACACATGTCCGGATCACTGTACAACAAGGGTAAACCCGGGATCGCTATAGTTTAACTACCTTTTTACTTAATTATATTTGCATATGAACTTAATATATTTCTCTTATGTTAAATTTATTGAACAAAATTTAGATTTCATGTTACGTACTTTTACATTATTATACATTTTGTATTTTGAATTTTTATTTATGAGACTATTGTTTTTAATATTCATTTTTTTTAACAAATCGAAAAAGTTATCCATAATTATAATTAGTAAAGTAATGAAAATTAAATAAATTCAACAATAGGAAAATTTTTCAAAGCAACTTAAAACTAACATAAAAATTAGTATATATATTGGATCATTTTTTAAAACTAAACAAAAATACCAAAAATCATTTTGAGCCTCACTAAATGTGATTCTGAAATAAAAACATGCATATCGGTATGCTTTCTTAAAGTTGTGCGAAGAATTAAAAAATTCACGGCTCCAGTTGCCACCAGAGTTACACAACGACAGTTACACCCCGCAACCGGGTCTGTATTACCGCTACCATTTCAGTAAACGCCATCGTTATTTAAAACTTTGGTTATATTTAAATTGAGAAAACTCTAAATTTTTTTCAAACCCTAGAAAATTTGAGAAATGAAAAATGTGATTTTGAATAGGATTAAATTGTTGGAATAATGTGAAAATTGGTGATTTATTATGGAGATTTTGAATTTCCTTGGAGATATTAGTTATCTTGAATTTATTGGATTTATTGGAAATAGTAGAAATTATGAAAGATGGGATATATGTTGCGAGTAACTGATGAGTTTATAGGAATCTCATACTATTTTGGTATTATTGAGAATGTTGAGTTATGCTGTAAATATATTTTCTTATTGGAATATTTTGTTACAGATTATTGTTTCATGCATCCATTGCACTTCCATGGCCTTACAATGAGATTGTTCAAAATATTGGAAATGTTGATAACGTGGTAAATCTGAATAGTGGATGTAATTGTGGATTTGAGAATTAAGTTGGTTTGCGTCATGGTAAAAGTCCTAAAACACGAGCGGAATAGGTATCAATTTCCTTCTGGTTAGTAGCCGTTAAAGTAGTATTTGGTAGTGCTTGAGAGCCTATTTGCAGACACGTACTAGGAAATTCGAATGTCTTATTTAGGCCTTGTTTGGGAAGTTGGCTATTTTAGTAGGCTATTTTAGTAGGCTATTTTAGTTTTTCACTACTTTAGTAGGCTAAAATTTTTGTGTTTGGGAAGATGGTTGGATTTTTTTGTAGTTAGATGTGATGTTTGTGAGAGAAAAAGTGAAATGATTATGAGTTTGATGTGATATTTTGTCTTATTAGCTATTTTAGCCTTTTGTCTTTTTGTGAATTTTAGCCTAAAAAGTCGAATTTTAGCCTTTGCCAAACAAGGCCTTACTGGCCCGATGTTTTGAAATGAAAATGTTGAAATGAATATTATTTTGAAAGTTGTGCATTGAGCATCCTATTGAAAAAAAAAAGAAGCTTATATTTTAAGCATAGCACACATCATTGCATTCATGATCATAATGTTGTTAATCTCATATATATTGTTAATATTATATCTATTGGGCGTCAATGTGCATCCCTTCGTGGAAAATCATTTTTAGTTGTTGGTGATTTGCCTCCGCCTCGGTGAAGGCTCGTGATGTGATTTTTGGAGCATGAATGCTCCTTTATTTTGTTTGCTTATTTTTGTAAAGCATTGGTTTATATGTTTGGGTAGAGACCCATTCTTTTTGTAATAGGGTTCAAACCACTGTAACTTGTAATCCATTAGGGCATTTAAATTTTGAATATTTATGAAGTATTATACCACATGTTATAGATCCATGCCTTGGAAATTGTGAATGTGTAATCGTATGTAATCTCTTTTGTAAATCTCAAACTATAATGAAATGAAGTATAACTATAATTAAATGAAGTATAACAAGAAAAAAGAATTATTTTGTATATGATTATTGTTGAATCTTGATAAGATTTTTGGCTTCCGCATGTTAATTTGATTTGATCTGAACATAAATAAGGAATATGAGTTTGATTTGTTTCATCGGATTTATGAAAATTGGAGCATTACAGGTGGCCTTCAGTGCGTTGAAAACGCTAGAACTATCGGACATGCCCGCATTGACACATTTGTGGAAGGGTCCTACTTAACTTGTACGGCTCCGCAACCTCACTTTTCTAAAACTGGAGAGATGTGATAAACTGGAAAGCATGTTCTCATTATCCATAGCCAGAGATCTGATGCAACTAGAGATACTTCGTGTATCTGATTGTCGTAAGTTGGAAGTACTTATTTCGAATGAAGCAGAAGGGGTTGAAAATGAGATAGCATCAACAACAACAGAAGCAACAGATAAAATTGTGTTTCCTAGACTTGATGACTTGTATCTCCATGACCTGCCAAGTTTTACTGCAATCTGCAAGGCTATGAATGGAATTGAGTTGCTGCAATTAAACACGCTGAAACTCAACCAGATGCCAAAGCTCAATAGTTTTTGTAATACTTCGGATAGCAATTACGATACTACTCAACCTCTTTTCAATAAGGTATGCTTCTTTGACTTAAGCTTATTTATTTATTTATTTATTTATTTAAGCTTCATTGCTGCGTCTATAAATTTTATTTAATATTTTGCTATTTTCATTTGACCTTTTGGGCAATAATGAGAACACAACATATTTTGGATTGAATATGTTGTTGGATGCAAAAATAAGAACATAAAACTGCACTTGAAATTAATTAGTATTTAGGAACAAATTTCTATTTTTATGAGTCGTATTTCTTTAGACAAATTAGATTTAATTCTTCTAGTTTGTTTATATCAATTTGGTTCTTGTAATTTTAATGCATCAATTTTACCTTTCGATTTTGCACATGGTATCAATTTAGTCTAATTGATAATATTTCATTTAGAAATTGGACTAAAATTAAGAGACAAAATGGTTTTTTTAATTCCCTTCAAAGTTATTGAAGGATTCGCATCCAATTTGAAATGATTCATTATCTTTTTAATAGTTCATTTTGCCTTTGATTTTTATTCAATTTTTTAACGGCTATTATCGCTTAGACTAGATTGACACAATTTGAAAAATTAAAAGGCAAAATTAATATTACAGAAACCAAATTGACATGAGAGGCAAGTATAGAGACTATGGGTATAATACTATAGGTATAATTTGCCCAATTTCTTTTGACTAAAAATTTTGCTAAACTAATATGAATTGGGGTGTGATTTTGAGAACTTGGACCAAATTATTTAAAGGGTAAAATAGCAATTGGTCCTAATAGTTGGCCTTAATTCCTATGAAGTATTATTGAAAATAAGTCTTAGTAAAATCGTCGCTAAAAATAATTTTTTATGACTATTTTTTGCATATGTCGCTAAAAATTAACAACTAGTGACTTTTTTTTTTTGGTTATTATTTTTATAAATTGTTTCCAAAACTTACAATTAGTGACATTTTTATGTGACGAATTTTTCTAACTGACACTGAAAGTTAAAAATTAGTGACTTTTTGTGATGATTTATTTAAACCGTCGTTAAAACTTATAATTATGACAATTTTTTTGTGGCAAAATATTCAAACTGTTGCTGAAAATTAACAATTAATGATTTTTTTTAAAAGTGTTTGATGAAAAAGGCTATTAATTCTCACAGGACATATTGGACAATAAGGCCACATATTAAGATTTACACGTAAGTTTCTTATTTAAAAATACTAAGATTGTATTTTGGATGGAAGAATTTAGCGGAAATTACACACACACACACACACACAAAACAAAAAACAAAAAAAACAAAAAATGACCCTTGTAACAAAATAAACCATGAATTTTAATTTTATCATTTTAGAAACTGAATTTTTAATTTGTTTTCAATCTGAATCAATTGTCTATTTTTGTTAAGTACAATCGATAGAAAAATGGATATATTAGTCATTAAACTCAATGAAAATGGGTATTTTGGACATTTTATGTACCTACATTGAGTTTAATAACTAAAACACTATTTTGTTATGATCATTTTTAGTTAACAAAAGTAGACAAATGACTTAGATTAAAAACAAATTAAAAGATTATGGTTTAAATTAATAAAATTGAAAACTCAGTGTTTATATTGTTGCAAGGGTCAAACATTGGAATTTTTTTTTTTTTTTTTTTTGTGGTAATTATCCCTAGAATTTAAAATAAAGG